GTGGTTTTTCATTTATCGCGGATCTTCAGGGTATGATCCCCAGGATAAACGAGGGAATACTGTATATAAATTCAGCAAAGTTCTAAGTAAAGTACTAGAAGTAATGTTACCAAAGTGTGGACTTGAGAAACTGGAGGACATGCTGGAAAGACCACTTTATATTTGTTTATTTATAAGTATGGAATGCATCATTGCATAATGAGTTATCAGAGATAAGTTTCTGAACAATAAGCACTTTTTTTAAATCAAATTGTTGCTGTAAGTTGATTTGACTGTAATCAACATTATTATAACGGAACTGTGAAAAACATACTCGCAATATTATTGAAAAATATTGTATCATTAATACAGTTATACAGTTCACAAAGTAAGAAATATGCAGCTCAGTTACTGCTTTGTAACTCAATTCTACATAATTAAACAAATCACACTAACTTAATGCCTCGATCAGTATTTGTTCGTTTTTCCATAAGTTCTATGTGAAAGTCAAATATATTTGAAGAGGTTACCCGTGTAGAAATTATATTAAATCTTGTTTTTGTGTGTGTCCTTCAACAGTGGGAGGAGGTGAGCGGTTATGATGAAAACATGAACACCATCAGGACGTACCAGGTCTGTAATGTTTTCGACAGCAATCAGAACAACTGGGTACGGACAAAATACATCCGGCGTCGTGGAGCGCAGAGGATCCACGTAGAAATGAAATTCTCTGTGAGGGACTGCAGTAGCATTCCCAATGTCCCAGGCTCCTGTAAAGAAACTTTTAACCTATACTACTATGAGTCAGATTCTGACACAGCCACCAGAACCTCTCCACCATGGATGGAAAACCCATGGATTAAGGTTGACACCATTGCAGCAGATGAGAGCTTCTCCCAGGTGGACCTTGGGGGCAGAGTGATGAAGATCAACACGGAAGTGCGAAGCTTTGGCCCCGTGTCAAAAAACGGCTTCTACTTGGCCTTTCAGGACTATGGTGGCTGCATGTCTCTCATCGCAGTTCGGGTCTTCTACCGGAAGTGTCCTCGAATCATCACTAATGGGGCGTTGTTCCAGGAGACGCTATCAGGAGCAGAGAGCACTTCGCTGGTAGCTGCAAGGGGTGTTTGCATTCCCAACGCTGAGGAGGTGGATGTGCCTATTAAGCTTTACTGCAATGGGGACGGAGAATGGATGGTACCCATCGGACGCTGCATGTGCAAAGCTGGGAACGAGGCTGTGGAAAATGGAACTGTTTGTCGAGGTATGTGTGGTGTTATTATGGTTTTATCATACTGTCAGCCTGATGAATCCGTCTGCTCTCTCATTATAAAAGATTAATCCAACCACTAAAATATTCTGCGCATGGATATTTTCAGTAAGTTGACGTTCCACACCAGCTGTTCCAAGAACCTATTCAACCTCGTTCAATTGTGATATAAAGTCTTGGATCAAAATATGATAGAAGGTATTAGTTCAGTGCATGGAATATTTAATTTATACTCATCATATTTCATGCCGTAAACCCATGCTTTGTTGTTTTCCATTGCAAATACTGTGAACTATGGCATGTTGGTTAACGATCTCCACATGTGTTTGTCTAAAAATCCACAAATGATGTTGGTAAACATAGAACTGCTGGCTAGGTCAAGTTTTTCTGAGCTACATTTCTTATCAATGTTGTAAAGTCTTCAACTACCACTTGTCATGCACCACACTGTGATTTTAATTATCTAGAACTTATAAATAACCCACCCTCTTTATTTACTTGATGAAAAAACATTGTAATATTTTTATTTTGAAGCACAGAATGTCTAGGCTAATTGTCTAAATATAAGTATTTGAAAATGGAGTGATTCAAATGATCTAGCTTTTATCTCCAAAGAAATGTAATCATATTCAAACAAAAAAACATCAATTTCAAACCATTAAAATGCAGACTTTGTGCCTTTTTTAATGTGATACTTGCACCCATGCAGCAGAACAAAAAGGGTATTTTTCAAAATTGTCAACATTTTTCTGGCAATTGGAATTACACGCAGGGATATCGATTAGGCTTTTCAAAACATTGATGCTCCCAACATTTACCTGCGTCATGCCCCATCAACTCTCTAGCAGGTGGTATTTGGTCATTGTGGTTAGAAGTCTTGATCACTTGAAGCAGCATGACAGCATACAGCCTGCAGACCGGAGTCATGCTGCTCCAGCCCAGTACAGCAAACCACCCACCTGCGTTTTGGATCAGTTTTTTTTGCTGCCTCTCTGATGAGCGGCTGTAATTACAGCACATCACCCAGTGTCTGTACGTTGGGAGGGAAACATGACGGGTGCTGCCTCACAAACACTGCTGGGTACGTTCAGTGACTACTAATGAGGCGAGGGACGAGGCACACCAGAAGAATCCCAGGCTAGTTTGAGGTACCTGAAGTAACTAACCTCCAATTCTACATCCTTGTTCAGTATTTTTTGACCTACATGTAAATAATTGCATGCAGTGGATTTGAAGATAATAAGAGAGTCCTCAGTCTTGATGTTGTTTTATAAGCTAAACAGGATTATAATATAAGATTTCAGGAGAAGCATCCTTGAAGCTTGACTAAAATATAAGAATTAATAAATTATTTTCATCACATTTTCTTCTCCATCTGCAACACTTCAACAACAAAAGTAGTATATTTCCTTGTTTTACCATAAATATTTAGGCAAAAACAAATACAGTAGTCCCTCGTTTATTGCGGGGGATCCATACCCTGAAGACCCATGAAAAACCGTGATGTAGTACAAGTAGTAAGCAGTAGTTTATTTTAGTGTGTGTGTAACCCTTCCCACACTCTTGCAATATTCTAAACAATGTTTCTAAACACTCCAAAAGAGCACAACATGTCATGATTTCAACTCGCTGCCTCCAACGCTCTCAGCCACCTGCAAGCGCTCTTGGCCACTCCCACTTTTATGCTCTGCACGGAGAACAGCTGATCAGCTGCAGCAGGAAGTTTATCCTGCAGTATGGGCTGCACAAAGGTGCAGCAGGTGCTAAATAATTTAAAATAATTTATTTTAAATAAAAATCCCATGCCTATCATGTGGCTCATCCATCAATCAGCCAATCGTGTGTCATGTCCAATCTAATTTTGAAAAACCGCGATAGAGTGAGTCCGCGATAAACGAACCGCGAAGTAGCAAGGGACTACTGTACATAAAAAAAAAAAACATTTTATAACCTTCAGTCCAATCTTCACAACAATAATGAATATTGAAACTTTAGTTCATAATATTTTAAGTACCATTCATGATTTTGTCCTGTAGATTGTATTTTTGGTCAATCTAACAAAACCTCACTGTCCTTGATACCTAAACATAGTTTAGATCAAAGTGATGACAGGACGGAGTAAATAGTGAGAAAAGTGGGTTTATCACGATTGTTATTGCAATATTAAGCAACAGTTTTTCACATCACAAGATTATTGTGTAGTATTGTGCAGTCCCAAGTTACTTTCTATATAGAATTGTTATTAAACTCAGAAGAAACGATTTTGAAGTGGATTTTATACAAAGAACAAAAATAAAAAAATTGAAATCAATAGTTAAAACTGATATTACTCTGGTGGTTTTCCCTTTGTTGAAAATCCCCATTTTTTGATGGAAGGCACAATTCACCCACTTTGCAGTCGTCTTTCTAAACACTGAAAGTTGATATCAGCACTTGAAGCTGTGGTCAGCCACTGCCTTTCAGCTGCAAGAGGCTGCATAATGAATTGATCTGTGAAAGATGTGCTTTGTCTGCCGATATTATGGGGTAATGAACTGATTTATGTGAAGTGCCACCAAAGAGATTGTAAGATATCCTCTTTCAAAGCTAAATTATGATACCATAATGCCACATAAACCAGTCAAGATGCAAGACACTTTCTGTGCTGTACTGGTAATAATAATACCAAAGCTCTGTTCCAGTGTCTCCTCAACTAAACATGTAATTATGCATGTAACAATTAAACCCTTGGCGGGGATTGTTGCAAATAATTACGCTGTCACAAAATCTGTCAAAATATTGACAACAGAAAGGGGTGCTTACATTAAATTGCTGAGCTCTTTTTCACTGCAGTTGTCTTACAAGTGGGATTAGGTTTCCTCTCTAAGACGTCCTATGAATGCAAGAAACCATACAAGGGCCTTTTAGCAGAGATGGTCTTAAAAAGAGAGATCTAATTTCCCTTCAGAGCCTTGAGGAGATGGTGCACCACAGAGACACATCAGGTCCTGTTTGCCCTTACCGTTCATTCCAAAGTGGAAAGTATTTTCTTTAGTGGGGCACAGTGAGAGCCATGTTCATGGGAGGAATTGCAAACTCCCTTAACAATGCCCATGTGTGTGTTTCAGTGTAATCTGATCATCTAACCCCATGCTATTGTGAGTTCAAGGGTCCCGACTGTGGGAGCACGGCTCATGTTATTGAGCAGTGAAAGTTTGGATAGAGACAATCAGTCACAGCAATAACAACAACTTGATTTACTTCTTGTGAATGTTGTTAGTGTTGGTTGCTGTGTTTAGGGAAATTTAAAAAAGCATTATAAAAACACAGTTTGTGTGGCCTTGTAGTAATATTTGGTGGGAAAGAACGATACAATGGTGTCTGACAAGTGAACGAACAGCATAAATTGGATTTTAAAGGTAAAACCAATTAGGCTATTTGCAAAAGAGTAACATTGTTAAATTGCATGCAAGTACATTTGTTTTTAGGGATTGTTTAGTTTCTTCATCAAGCTTTACATTTACAGTTTCACATTAGACTCGGTTTCGATGCACATTTCTCTTATGGCCCATTTCCATTAGTAACGGTACAGCAAGGTTCAGCTCGACTCTGCACGGTTCCAAGGCTATTCCACTAGCAATGATTCGTGGAACCGGTCCCTTTTTCAGTCCCTTTTTCAGTCCCTTTTTCTCTGGGGTTCCAACCGTGCCACACTGGCCCTAAAACGTGATATCAGAACACTGTCAGTCACTGATAAGTCACGGGGTGGAGTCACTGCTGGTTGTTTGAGAAACTTTCACAACCCGGTCCACCATTTGCAATAACTTGAACTCGAGGAGCGTCTGGACCTATTTTTAAGATTTTAAAACAATAATGACAACACCGTGGTTTAATGCTGAAGTGCAGGCGTTTTTTGTGCTTGGTGGGTGGCTGACGACAACATTCAGAACGAGCTAGATGGAGATCTGCCGGTCCCCCCCGGTCCCCTCCACCAGAGCCCCTTCAGGTCGGCAAGGGTGGAAGATCTTCCGTGCTCCTGCGGGCTCTGAGCTGAACCTGCCCACTAGAACCATTACTGAAAGTATAATGGAAACACGACTCATACCATGCCGAGCTGAGTCAAACCATGCTGTACCGGTACTAATGGTACTAATGGAACTAATGGAAAAGAGGCATCACACTTGTTTCCAGGATCATCAGGAGCCAAATAGTCATTCCTTCAAATAAACACAGCAAATTTGGCTAAGTGTAAACAACAGGCTTCTTACTTGTCTGTTAGTCACATGTTGGAATTCTATTTTTAGGTCAAAGTGGGGAGAATTTAGAACAAGACATTGGGTCTCTAATATCAGTGTTGTGGTGTGCACCAGTGGTTGTAAATAAGGTTTCTCCTGTTGCACCAGAGCAATTAGATTAAAAGGAAAGAGCTTTAATAATTCTTCGACCAAACATGGCTTTAGATAAAAGGAATTAAGGAGATAGAGTGCAAAAAATAGGTGCTGGGCAGACATGATTAGATGGACATGATTGCATGGAAATGCTGGGGGGAAGGGAGTGAAAGCAGGAAATGAGTCCCCATAACACACTGTCAGAATCCCAATTATTGCCGTCTCTTCATCTGGAGAGGATTTAAGGATGGAAATCAGCGTAGCACAGACAAATCCACAGTGCTGCTTTTATTTCCCTTGCCACCACTGTCTTTAATAGCAGCTCTAATTGACTAACAGTGCAAGTGGGGGAAAGCCTCGCAGATGACTGGATGTCTCTCCTCCATGCTGGTACAAGACACAAAGAAAAAACTAAACAAACACTGCCCTCAAACCTTTCACTGCACTGTGCGTTGTGCAAAGAGAGCTGAAAGATGGGTTGTATTGGGTTTCAGGAGAAAATGAGAAAAAGAGTAAAAAAGCAAACACAACTTACACAATGGGCATTGAGGCAACATTATATAAAATTAAATACCTGACTTAAACTTGCTGATTGACAGTTGCCTCAACTACTGTTGGAAGACATGT